AAAAAAAAAGCCCGACGTGGGGGTCGAACCCACAACCTTGAGATTTGAAACAATCGTGCCTTTGAGGGCGTGATAACTAAGAGTCTCACGCTCTACCGATTGAGCTAGCCGGGCGATTGATGAAGGTTTGCAAAGTAGTAATTAATATATACTGTATTTTTCTAGACAAAAAGAAGCCTACAAGAAATTCTGAGTTTAACGAATACTGCAGTTTTGTTGCGAAAGATTTTTCTTACTGATCTGACGGGAGTGGTGGGGCGCGCATCATGCCAAAAAGATGCTAGAACGCGGGGTAAGAGTAAAATCATAAGTTTATTTTTAAAACATCCTCGTATTGCGACTATTGCATCGTATCTGAGGGAGGACTTTTTGCCGCTAGAGCGAAGAGAGATATTGATAAATGTTATCACAGGAGTTATATATCGTTTCCCCCCCCTTCTTAATAAATGTTCGAATCCTACCTTGTTACGAATCATGCAGCGAACCAAAAACTTCGTTTCCCATAGTCTTCTTCTTCTTCCCTCCTCCTACCATCCATGAAATGTTTTACAAGACGAGAAAAACTTTCCTTGATTAAATCTGCCTATGATGTCGTGACCGGTCATTATGTAGGTTCTATATGTTTGCGCAAGAGTCTAGAGATTAAGGAAAACATCCCCAGGTGGCAGGCCTGGACGCCTAGCTAGAAAATCCAAGAAAAAAGATGGAGAAAGGAAAAACAATGCAGCAAATATGTGCTCAATCTCCCCATATGAGCGTGTGTGTAGGAAGCAATCCCCCTTAACCCTAGTGGGAAGGAACAAACAAAACTTCCTTTGCTCCCCTTTTCGTTCTCTGGTTTTTTTTTTACAATTGTGTGACATGGCTTTGCTAGAAAAAAAATCACCCTTCACTTTCCCTCTTTTGATTTGGTTCTTCCTCCTCTTGTGCTATACTATGAATCCATGAGATATTCATCCAGAGACGGATTTCTCCCATCTGGATTTCGCAGAATGCCCGCTTGATCTCGCCGTAATTGCTCGACCTCAGCCCTTAGCGCATCCCTCTCTTTCTCAATGGCCTGTATGTAATCAATTGCACTGGCTAAAATTGTCGCTTTGCTCGGTTTCGGTTGTCCAATTGCACGTGTTCCGTCATTTTGCCGAAGCAAAGGCACCGCTCTCCGTAATCTTTCGAGCTCCGAGTTGAGCCCTTCACGGTACTTGCGTTCGACCTGATTGTGCGGCTGGCGCCTTGATATCTGGCTTTTTAAAGTAGGCGACGTTGCAGCAAGTTGGCTGTCGGTGCTACTGCGGCTCATCCTCGGGCGACCCCGCTTCCTGGTTGGTCGTTTTGGTGTCGAAGACTCCGACGCTGATGCAGGCGACGATGGTGATTCGCGTTTTAGTGTGTGGGGACTTAGCGACGGGGAGACGGCTTGGTGTGTTGCGTCGCCTGAATGGGATGAGGAATGTGATGTTGTTGCCGTCGTTATCGGCGAGAAAGAATCGTGCTCGCCAGCTTGTGGTGGTGTGGGATGCATCGAGAAATCACCCCTATATTGCTCGAATTGCCCAAATTGTGGCTGATTATAAGTTTGCGGGTAAGGCTGTAGACGGCTCGAAGATGGCAGTATAGTCGCCGGTAACTTTGAGGCTGATGTCCTTTGGGACTTGGGCTGGTTATTCGAGGCGCCCTCGATAGATGTGGTCGGTTGACTGAAGAAGTTGTCCGAGTCGAAGAACGTGCTCAATGTGTAGTCGGGACCTGGATCGAAGACATCGCTGAGATATGGATTGTCAAAGTAATTCGAGTATGGCATGTTATCTGCTGGCGGAGTGTCTCCGGTATTGGATCCTCTCGTATTTCTGGGGGCATTCATCAGCTTAATGAAGTCGAGATTGATTGATGGTGTGGTGGGTATTCTAAAATAGCGTATGTGGTAAGTAGTGACTATCCGGGATTGAAGGATTAACGAGCTATGACAATGACAGTCGGGTCGGCATAACCAAACGTTTAATAAGAGAAAGATACGAGAACGTAATTGTATCGACGATTCGAGAACGGCACAGCCAATGAGGTGGGTAATTGTAGCTTGTGACCTGCCTGAAATTCAGGTCGTAGGCCAATCAATTTCCGGCGTAATGGTTCACTCGAGTGCGGACGCTTCGAGTAGCTGTAGGGTAATCCCAAAATCGCAAGGTACTTGTGGATCCATCCTTCAATTAATCATCGCAGACATGCCCAGCAAAAAGTCGGCTGCTTCCTTGATGCTTCGTAAAGCATGTACAGTGCATTCGAGCATCCAGATTCTGGAGAGATGCACATGTCGAATGATGAGCACCTCATCGGCATTGTCCGGTAACAAGAGCATCTCGTGCTGCGCTGGCCCAACGCTCCACTGAATCGGACAAGAGTCGTGTTCCGCGAGTCCTCCGAGACCGAGTTGCCGGAACCACTGATTCACGTCGCAAGGATGAAACATTTTCTTAGGCAAATAGTTCAACAACTGGTCATGGCGTTCGAGGCGCAGTTCTTTGAATGTGCTGCAGCAGCAATAGCAGCTGCGGAGCCCAATTGAAGGACATCGGCAGCTCTCACGGTCGAATTGTGATTTCGCGGCGCATGGCAGCAACCTTTTCAAGGTTGCTAATAAACCATGGTACGTAGTTTGTTCGTCAGATGTCGCTTACTGTAAGCATCCATGCGCAAGCGGCTGCTACATGATAGTAAGTAGAGGACGCGTCGTGTGCCTAGTCTTCTCTTAGTCACGGGAACGTCTAGACTAGCAATTGCTTGCTAAGAATTGCTCGTGCAAATGCAGAAGGAAAATCCACCAACACCCTGTGATGTCACAGTTTTGCGTCGCGTGGAAGCGGCTAGGCGCATATTGGGGACGCTCATTGTGGCGCCACATGGAGGGCTGTGGGTGTCAGCGGGTGTTTCCGTAGCTGTCAGTTGCAGGGACTGGAAATAGTCCGGGCATTGCAAGGAGAGTGGATTGGATATTTACATCGTCAAGATTCTCCGTTGTCTGTAGTAGGTGTGGATGCTGTCAGCTTGGTTGACGGGACGGCCGGACAGTTGGTGAAAATGGCGTGATACTGGTTCGATGCAACCCGATCGGGTAAACTTTTAGTCCCAAAGCCAGGATGACTAGGCGCCAGGACTCATGGCAATCCCAATCCCTGTGAACTGTGCATCTCGCTTTGTTGCTTCCGCACTATTAATCTTTTGCTTGGCTATGTCTGCTTTAGCCGTCCTGGCAGTTATGTAGCTCGTCGCCAACAAGATGGGCATTGCACGACTGTGTCAGGAACTTGGGCGCAAACACTCAACTCCGTACACTCGTCAGCCATGAACAAAAGAGAGAGCAGGGTATTCAGTCGTGTCCACCCGTGCTTTGCGCAGTAAAAGTAATGCTGTTACCTTAGTAGGGTACGCGAAGTGGGTTGGATGTTGATGCCTAGGTACGACTTCTCGAGGCTATTGCATCGCAACCCCGCGCCGTTCCTCGCCAGACCTCAAATCCCCAGGTTCCAGGCTCGTCTCCACCATGTCAACTACAATCACGTCTTCAGCACCAGCTCACATCAAAACTCGCTTTCTTATCATCTCTGATACCCACTCTGCCACTCCCTCACAGAATACCGCCGACAATGACACAGCCTTTCGTCCACCGCTTCCCAAAGCCGATGTACTTCTCCACTGCGGCGACTTGACCATGGTTGGTCACTTACCAGAGTATGAGGAAACCTTGAACATGCTCGAGGGTATCGATGCCGTTCTGAAGCTCGTTATTGCGGGTAACCACGATATTACTCTAGACGCGGACTATTATGGCAAAAAAGGCAGGTTTATGCATGGGACACAATATGACCAGGAAACATCGGCTAAAGCAAGAGAGTTGTGGACTGGCGGGCGAGCCAAACAGGCAGGTGTGACTTATCTCGACGAGGGAACACATGTATTTCAGTTGAAAAATGGAGCAAATCTGCGGGTAAAACGCCTATTTACCATGTCCGGACCCGCGTGCAACAGCTGACATCATTTCCAAGATCTATGCATCTCCCTATCAGCCGGAATTTTGCGGTTGGGCGTTTCCTTACAATCGAGATGAAGACCGTTACAATCCGTCCCACGAGTGCACGCCATATGCCAAACCTATCACCGAGAACCCCATTCCTGACTTCCCCAACATCGATGTCATGATGACCCATGGACCGCCTTTTGGTGTCTTGGACGTTACGCGAACCGGCGAGGTAGTTGGCTGCCAACATCTCCTACGGGCTGCTAGACGCTGTAGGCCACGTTTACATTGCTTTGGACACATACATGAAGGATGGGGTGCACAGAAGGTGCTGTGGAATAACGGCGAACTGGACGTCAAACCTGAGCAGTGCATCCAAAGAGCTGATACAATACATGTCGATGGTGGGAAGACCGCAAACGAGAGGGCAGCGACTGTGGATATCAGCCAGGGAAGCAGCACTGCAGTCGAGTTTGGAAAAGAAACTTTGATGGTTAATGCCAGCATCATGAATGTTCGGTATGACCCACGGAACGGACCATGGCTTGTGGATCTGGACCTTGAGAGAGCCAGTTGAGCTCGTTCGTTTAGCCTGTTGCTCACGTGTATGCCTTCTGGAGATATCATAAAGATCAAGCCTTTTGATACCCTGGTTCTACACATTGGTACAGAGAAAAGGAGCTTTTGGCTACGTTGGTTCAGGTGATCTTTGGATTGCATAGCCGCTACCTGTACTAAAGTAGCTTGTATAAATATACCGGATACCTACAGGCTGAGTTCAGCGCAGAATAGCTTGGCTACACAGGAGAGATTGTCAAAATTGCTTGGTGAGCAGTTTTAAATTGTGTGACAGTCAGTTCTTTGAATCCTATGCGTTGTCCATCCTAGAGTTAAAACATGCTTAGTCTCAGCTATAGAACTCTGTCAGTTAATAGATACTGTGCTTATATCACTCAATTCTTGCCTTTTTATTTCTAAGAATGAATAACCCCTAATCGCCTGCCAAATATACACACATACTTGCTATGTTCGAGTCCCAAATCCCCTCACCGCCATGCATTCTACAAGCAATTGATGTCAGCGTATAAACTTAGGTGATATTTTCGGAAACCATAACATCAACAGTCGTATCAATTATTTCTGCTCAGGCGAACATTCCCTGAATAATAGTACCGATTCTCTGCCCGCGGATATACCCACCTTGCTATTAGAATGGGAGGAAAAAGGGGGTGAGGACATCATATCTTTCAAAGCACCAACAATATATACAGTTGTACCGAAGTTAGTGAATGCATATGTACATGCCCCACCCCCTCATTCCTGTAGCCCTGGCCACTGTTTTATATGCAACTAGTCATGTCCTTCGGTCCGTTTGCTAATTCTATACCCATTAATTTAGTCAATGAGTATCGTTTTCAACTCAGAGTAGAGTTTGTCAACAATCAATAGAATCTCAATATGTGGATCCATTATGAATTGAATTGAATTGGTAGCTTTCCCAAAAAGACCAGGTTGAGTTGGATTTGTGATTTAGGTTGATTGTTGACAACTCGGTTAATTCATATAACGATTGAACCTGTGATCCTAACGAGTTCATGTCTCAACATTAACACAACCACTGCATACGTTGTGCCACATTGTGCAGAAGAATGCCGGGCATCTCGTCACATCAATTGAAAAAAATAGCTGTTGGAAAGGAGCAATTCGGGGGGCGCCTGGATTCGCAATTTGCTCTCTGTAGGAGACGGTAACTCCAATAGAAATACTCTGTGCTAAGCTCTGTACAAAACAGCTTAATCACGAAAGACATGGTAAAGAAGGGGCACTTGGATAAGTGTTATCCCGATGCACAATAGATTTTCATCAAACAACTGTATTGGCGAAGTTGAAATCAAGTGGTTTGGTTCGGCTGAGCAAAAGTGTTGTAATGACTTCTTATAAGGCATAGCGAACTTACAACGATTATAAAGCTTGGATTTTTACGTGGTATCACAAGGGTGAAAGGGAACTGAAATGATATCACAGCCTTTTTTTTCACATGCCAGCGTTTGTATGAGAAGCAGGAGTTGAAGGCGTAGTTTCTAGAATTATAAATATGGACGGGTTGGATGAGGGTAGGAGAAAATAACGGGTCTGTTAGAAGATTACAAAGGGGGGACAAGTAATATGATACATGTCTCATATATGCTCGTTCTGAGGTTTCAGCCTGGAAATGCGTGATTTGGAGGCAAGGAGAGAGAGAGAGGGGGGGAGGTAAGCGGCCTAGTTTTTCAAGAAGTGAGAATTGGGACGGTCTGCAATGTTGATTCCATAGGTGCAACGAGTGAAAATGAAGGGGCTGAGGGATAAAACAAGGTCTTTATACATGATAAGATTTTTTGGTGGAGAATAAAGTATATTTCGAATTTGTGCTGCTGAGCAACATGTGCATATGCATATGTATATGTATATGCACAAGCGGCAGTCCTGCAACCGATCAAGTTACAGAGTGTTACTTTGTCTACTGTATGAAAAAGAGTGAATGCAGATTTGAAACGATAAATCAGGAACATACATACAGTGAAGATAAACCATACTGCTATTGACAGATCACCTACCATCCCTTCGCTTCAACCCGCAAAGCGTCTGTCACAGGAACCACCGTGCTTCGTACGACACTCCCTACAGACAGGCGAAACAAGGCAGTGCGTCACCACTGTAAGCCCTGGGCTTCCCCCATCCCACATGCCCCCAAGGGAGCCGCTTGTAGATATGTAGGACGTCAAAGTATTCACTTCACTCATAACATCCCTTTGCTTCTTTCTCTGTTCCTCGCCCTACCCAACTCCCCTAAAAAAACAAAAAAAATAGAAAACAACAACAAAAACAGACAGAAAAAAAAAGCACACGCCCCCGCCCCCCAAACACCTCCGAATCAAGCCATCTCCCTCCCCCCTCTCCCCCCTTCAATCAGGCTACTCTAGAATCCACAACCCAAAACACCCCACCAACCTCCTTAAACCCCCTCCTCCCCCCCTTCCAATCCCATGTCCTCGCATACACTCCCCAATCGAGACATCCAACCGCCATCACCGGAAGCGCGCTGTGGTGCTGTGACCGCATTCCACGGTNCGGGAAACGCCGTGTGGTGTCGAATGGCGTGCGGAGGAGGTGTTCTCCGAGCGAAGTGGCGCGGCGAGTAAGGTGGTAGTACATAGTGTAAGTAAGCCTTGCGGTGACATGTGCCTTGTAGTTAGTAGCTGTGCGCCTTGTAAGTCGGGGAGGAGGGCATGTGCGGTCTGGTGGCGAGTGCGAGTGCCGGGCTTGACTAGTTAGTGTGTGTGGTTGCTAAGTTAGACGTTGTGCTAGTACTCTCTAGTTAGGGAGGGGGTGGGTTGAGTGACAACATAGGGGGAAAGGGTAGGGCTTCTAGAAAACGAGTAGTACGAAGGTTAGTACATAACATATTGTGGCGGTAGTTGCAGTGGGGCATCGAATGTCATTTCTCGATGCTATTTGAGTCAGAATGTTCTTTTGAGCTGAGTGACTATAGTATTATCATGGCGGTTGTCAAGAGCTTTCGTGGCCTGTCGTTCACATCTTTGCCACAATGAACTGAGAAGAAGTTTGCCCCCCCCTTTTTTTTCTCCTCGTTTGCCTCGTAGTAGGTCCTTTTCCATCAGGAGAGATTGACAGAGATTGACCGCCTTTGCTCGCCCTTTTTCAGTGGGCCACGTTTTCTTATCGCTAGACCAACAAAAAAACCCTGAATCGTAGCCTAGGGAAAAGCTGACAGGACGACAAGTGCCGTTTCTTCTTGCCTTGCGCATTATCCATTTTCACTTTGCAAATTGAAAATACGCAATCCGTCTGTATGCTCTTTTTTAAAACACATTCGGCGTCATACGCCATCGTATTCGCGTGACGTTGGTATGATGACCTTCTGTGCTCCACCGACGCAGAGAGCGAGAGAGAGCATATTATGCATTTCGCTGCTATGCTACCGTTCTCTCACTGTCGGTGAGATACAAAATGACATTTCATGTTTCATGTAACGGAGAGAGTCGTTCACATGTCATCAATACATTGGAAACCAAAGGGCATCAATGCTTGGTCATACTTACCTCAGCAACTTACGAAGGTTGCGTGATCTCGGTGTGCGAACACAATCGAACCCCCACTCATTCTTTTGTCGACAGCATGCGTTCTCGGACATTTTTTGTGCCCCCTCCCACATCCCCTTCCCTTATGCTTATTTTGCATCCTTGCACGTTTGGAGTTGTGATGTGTTTGTGGGGCCCGTCGCAAGTTTGCCAGTAGTACCATCTTGTACTACATACACACACTCGTATACGCACTAAGATTCTGCATGCATCTTTTCCATCGCGGCCATCGGCGGAGTCGGAGTCGTCGTGGCCCTGCATTAACTTTGTTATGCGAGGGGTCCCCTCCCCCTTGTGGGCTCGCTCTAAGTATTGGCCGAACACTCTATGTGCGGATACCCTTGGGACGATCCACAATGTTGGGAATGTCACTTCTGCCTATTCTGCCTATGTTGTCTGACCACAGTTTATTGAATCTTACTTTATGCACCGTATTTTGTCTTCTCCTTGAGCTGAGGAATTACACCGGTGACCTCCTGTCGCAGAACGGATGTACTTCCTTTTTGACTCGCTATGCATTTTGAAAACGAGCGGTCATAGGGATCATCGCCCGATATTAAAGAGCCGGCGATGAGCGGTTCTGCCGATCGAGATGCCAAGCCAAAGGGGTGTGACCGACAACAAACTAGTGAAACCCCGCATCTTATTTCCTTGTTTGTTGTAGATCGATGGTTACGACAGTAATTCCACTGCTAATATTGGTGAATTTTCTTAACCGGCTTGCTGGAAGCAGTGCGTTCCGAGAATGTTATGGCAAGATTTTCTTTTTTACTTTTTTTTGCCGTTACAAAGTTTCCGCCTTGCTGATGGGGCGAGCAGATTGGAACGTCGACTATAGCAATTGGAGAACGGAGATGAAAAACCATGCTCCGAGTGAGAATCATGGTGTTGTGGGGCCTGTAAGACACCCCCATCGACGACATAGGCACTGGGCTAGCTATATGAGTGGGCTATGCCAAATACAGCAATACGAGCGATTTCTAGGACTTGGACGCAACTGCGACCTCAGCTCAGGTCGCGGGCCCAGATCGGAGGCTTTACTGGTAGGTCGGGATAATTAGCCGACCTCAGGAACGGGTCGCGAGCAATCCATCTTTGTTATAATAAGACCAAAGAAGAGTTAAAGTGTACGGTGGTAGGGCAGTGCCGTAAGTAAGCACATGCTTCTGCGATTGTTCGTTGAGACCCCTGACCGGCCGGTGAGCCAGGGTTCAAGGTACCGTCTGCCGAGTCAGCTAAAGATGTGCATATGTACGGTTAGAACAAAAGAGAACTGCCGGATGGCTATCGCAAACCTTGATTCCATGGAGAAGGCGTTGGACAAGCTAAGGTGCTTTAGTGTTGTCGCCGGTGAAAAAAGGCCATGTCATTGCATATCATTGTATGGCGATGCATGACCAGAAGCGAAAATCCCTATCAATGGCACGGAGTCGAGCAAGGTGCCGAAGAGTCATAGCTCAACGACGGCTTGTACTCTGTATGTAGGAACAGCAAGTGAGGCTGCTTGGACATTTTTCCTTTCCGGTTTGGCAGACCTGAACCCCCCACATGCACCAGAGGTATGCAACCGCTGTCCAAGATGACCAAACTTTATTTGTAACACAAGCCACAGTGGGGCTTTGGACCAAAGTGCTATTGGAGGTGGATACACGGAGAAGACTGGGTTGATCGTATGTGAGTACATAGTTACATGAGCATGTATGTGCTAGTAAGTACTTGAGTAAGTACGTATATAACAGATAATTACGTGGGACATGTGACGATTTGCAGGGCGTAGGGCGGTTAGTCAGGGTCGAACGTTGGGCAAACGGTCAGCTTAGAAGCGCGCTTAGACGGAGGATAACGAAGATGAGGACGATTAGGGTTAGGCAATACTTTGGCCACTGAATCCTGAAGATCAGCGATTGGGTTCTGGTGAAGCGGACACTATCCGGCGGAATGCTGATCTCCAGAGTCCTGGAATGAGCGTATACCTGACAGAGTGGCACATGTCCCCAAGCCAGAGTTTCAACTATAGGCGAAGCCAAGACACGTAAGCCTTTTTGTCGTACGTGTATGTGCGCGGATACGCGATATGTGAATTAGTGCATTGGGAAGGAATGATGATGCAGAGCAGTCATTTCGCGACTCGACAAGTATGGGGTGCAAGTTCGTTGGTGATTGTCACGTCTGATGAGCGTTTAACGCAAAACCAAACAGGAACTTTCCAAGCGATGTACTGGTATACATGGGTATGTTTCGTTAGTTCAGTTTTTGTGCCGCCCATCGGCCCGAAATATCCATTTGATCTAAACCTGTTTTGGATGGTATAGTGCCATCCACCAAGCTCTTCCCCTATCCTCACATATCCTCACAATCACAGAATTTTCTCTTTGTATCCAGCAATAATGGACGAACCAGCCATCGAAGCTCGCCAACCCAAACGAAAACAACTAAGCCGAGACCAGCGTCTACAGATCCATACATTACGGCAAGCAAGGTTCACTTATAAGCAGATTGCTACGCAGCTTAACGTCACTTACCGATCAGTTCAATACGCGCTTTCTGTGCCAGTCACCCCACAGAAAAGATCAGGTAGACCGCCAGCGCTATCACCTAAGCAGATAACAGAGCTTATTACCTTTATCAGGTCGTCCAAAGAAACCCGCTAGATGTGCTAGATAACGCTGTCTATAGTATTTCAACACTGGGGTGTTGGCTACATCGCGATCACAAACGCCCTCCGAAACGCCGGTTTCCATCGAAGATCTGCCTGTATCAAACCACCCATCAATATAGTAAATCGGGCGGCGCGCCTCCGTTGGGCGCAGGAGCATGTTCACTGGACGCGAGCTTAGTGGGATAACGTCCTCTGGTCGGATGAGACGTACATCCGTGGGCGACGGCTCAATGGGATATATATCACGCGTACAGCTGGGGAGCGGATAGAGGAGACATGCGTCGTGACAAAGATCAAACGACAGAAGGGTATTATGTTTTGGGGCAGCTTTATTGGTAGCAATAAAGGTCCAATATATCTATAGGATCCAGATGAAGGCACAATTAATGCTATACGATACTGTACAAGAATCGTGCCACGCGTTGAGCTATTTAAACGCCAGAGACCAGCGCTAATATTTATGCACGATAACGCTCCATCCCATAGAGCTATCTTAACAAGAAATGAGCTACAGCTGCGAGGGATTACAACTATGGCTTGGCCTGCTTACTCGCCAGATTTGAACCCCATTGAATCAGTGTAGGCGAGGATGAAGGAGATTGTTGATGGATATATTGAGCTTGGGCAGCAGCTAACTAATTGGGAGCTCATGGAGGTAATGCTAGAGGCCTGGGAGCAAATTTCAACACAGTATCTAGATAACATAGTAAATAGTATGGGGAGGCGATGTGAAGCTGTAATTGCTGCTGAGGGTGGCCCAACTCCATACTAGTAATCAAACCATCCCATCTCTAGTTAGCTGATTACACCCCTGCCTAGCTTATCAAAAAACTGAACTAACGAAACATACCCATGTATACCAGTACGGTTACGACTGACTTGACTGGGGGCATGTATCGTATCGGTAATACATGCTTCAAGATTTGCCCGTCTTTGGGGATGTTTGGCCCAAGCGTTTTAGGGCGACAGATCCCGGTCTGGCGATTACTCTCCATATACTGCAACGATGAACCGCCAGACATGTCGCCACGCCGGTAGCCGGAGGATGACGGAGGATGGAGGAAGTTGCCAGGTCCCAGGGGAAGGGTCGTATGCTTGGGCCTGCATATGTTAACGAGGCTTACCGGGCTTTTTGCGTTTATGTAGATAAACACGTACCAAGACGGACCAAGGTAGGGGATGTGTGCCTGAAACAGGGTCTTTGTAATACAGAGGGCTGCTAGGGTTTGGGCGATGTTGTGCGAAGCAGGGATAGTGTAAGCGAAGCATAAGCAAAGAGGAGAGCACGGAGTGAGCGAAACGTGGAGGCGAGTGCAGATATCACGCCGTCAAGCTTGGGGTCATGTCCGCAGGGCTGGCGTAGTGAGCGTCTCTAGATGACGAACTCTGGGGATCGGCTTGGTTGTTGTAAAGTGCTGAGCAGGGTCAAGGGTTGAAGGGTGTTTGGGGTTGCTTGTAGAGCGAGAAATGGGGAGGGTGGCACGTGGCAGGTTGTTGATGCACCGGGCAGCTATGTTCTTTTGGGCCTGTCACCGAGGCATATCGTGGATCTGAGGGCGACGGCGGAAGAGGCAGTGATGGAGCGAGATGGGGCGTGGGGCATGTGGTGGAGGATTGGGTGATGATGTGACGCTGGTGTGAGAGAGGATACGACAGCTGGCAGGTGCGAGACGGCGCTCGGTGCAGCAATGGTCGTGGCAGTGTGCTGAGGGTGGAGAGTCAGTAGAGGCGAGCAAGGCGTGGTCGGTCGCTTGTTAGCTGGGTGTGGTGAAAAAGGACACTGTACACACTATGTAGATTGGTATAGGGTGCTTGGTAGGTAGGAACGTGGCAGCATGGTGGCGCCCCCACTCGACAAGCGCCTGCGAACAGTGTGCCGGTGCACAGTTGCAAAAGCAAGTATAGCAGCAGCAACGGTTGGCGACGGCGACACATACGGCCCAGCCAATCAGTCGGGGAGCAGTGGCCGAGGACGAGTAAGTAAGTAGTCTACGGAGGTGCCTTTCAAAAGTATTGTCTGCCAAGAATAATCTAGCCGATGTACGGCCGCCTTAGCCGAGGC